CCTTTTGTAATTTTTGTACTTCATTCAGCAGTTTTTTGTTCTCGTTTTTCAGTTTTGCTGTATTAGCTCGACGACGTCTGGCGCCTTCGGTCTTGCGCAAGCCACCTTTTGTTGTTGATGATGCGAAAATTGTCGCTGTCAGGTGCCGGGCTTCTCGTTTACGTACACGACATTTCTGTTGTCTCTCGCTTTGTTTTTTCTTAAATTCATTCTTAAACGATTTTGACCGTAAACGTTTTAGATGAATTTTTAGACTATATTCCTGATTATAACGTCCAGATTTTTCCTTACTATGGGAATTCATTATCTTATCTGAAACTATAGAAGCAAAAACCGCATGGCTCACTAGCAATTAGACTTGAATTTGTGCTTGTACGAAAGATGAGAAGATTGATTTAACAGTTGGTTTCTTTTGCAACTTCCTTTACCTTACGTGTGCTTCTACAGAAAATAATCTCGCATGACATTTTTGAACTGATTCTTAATTTTCTCGCAAACCGTAAACTCTCAGACGCTGTTCTTTTGACAAGAAGTTGACCCCGATGAGTAGATAAAATGAGCCAAGTTTCGTCTCAAACGGTCAAAAAGTAACAGAGTTATAGATAAAACAAGATAAAAATCTCGCCTGACATTTAGTGTGAAAGTACCCATCCGGCAGTAAAATAATGTAAATTACTGGCATTATGTTGCATTATTTGACTTTTTCTCGACATTATGATGCATTATTTGTGAATAATGCTTCTAATGCATCAAAATTCGCAGTTTTTCATGCGTTGTAATGCATTATTAATGCACTATTGGTGCATTAATGTCTCTAATGCATTATTTTACACAAAAATTCATGCACTATAACACATGAAATTTGAAAATAATGCATTAAAACGCACGAATTTACAAATAATGCTTCATAATGCTGAATTATTCTAAGAATCTGCCAGATGGGTAGTTCGACATTTTGTTGGGACTTTTTTTTCTTTAAGAAGTTCAATATAGAATACATAAGAACGGAGTAGGAAAATCTCCAATACGTCATGTTGAAAAATTCAATATGTGACACATGGACTATCATTAACGAAGGTTGGGGTTACTTTTATTATCACGACTAATGGTCACAGACGCCTGAAAGGAGCAATGGGAAATAAGGGTAAGTCATTTTGTAGATCCATCTACTTTTTGTGTTAACGGTTGAAGCCGTTATTCGTATCTCAGTGGATTTGCTGAAAGCCCAGCTTTAAAATACGTTTCGCTTTTTTTAAATTTTGTACCGTTGCTGAGAAAATCATGTTTTCTATATATCTTCTAGTGCTGGTAGACATCAAGGTAGAACTTTAAAAAGTGGTGATCTTTTACCTTTGTTTAATAATAATAATTTAGATATTGATTATAATGATAATCTGGAATTTGTAATACTCATTGATATAATACTAAAATTTAGAACAAATTGGAAAATACAAGTATTATTAAGACCACAAAGTAATCCTAATTATTTAAATAATAATGATTTAATGGAATTATTAAAAACAAAATGGAAGGTTCATTTTTTAAGTAAAAGAATGATTATAAGATTAGTTGGTCCAAGACCAATATGGGAAAGATTAGATGGAGGAGAAGGTGGTTCTCATCCAAATAATATACACGACTGTGATTATGCTCTTGGTAGTATTATTTTGACTGATGCTATGCCTATTGTATTGAAGGTCCAACACAAGGTGGGTTTGTTTGTCCTTCTACAATTATTTCTTCTGATTTTTGGAAAGTTGGTGAATTATTATATATTAATTATTTTATTTT